TTGTGGAAACATGATAATAATGAGAGGTGTGTCATGTGAGAACATCACCACATGCCACAGTCAACGCGCCAATACATTTCGACGTGACGCCGTGTGCGTACTCGCTGGCGTTCATTTCGTCGCGTCACGCAGGCGTTGCCACACCAGGCGCCGGTCCCGCCATATACTCGCAGGCGCGCACCGCGCTGCGTTGCTTTGACGCATGCGCGTTTCGGCGCGTCCAGCATCCCTCTATCAGAGAGACATTGTTCTCTGGGTAACGCATCGGCGCGAAATGCAGCATGTCGGAGTTTGCACCGTTTGCCGCTGGGCCGCACCAACGAACGCTGGTCGTTTCTGGCGTCAGTTCTCGCGTTTTGATAACGTCGCGTCGCTGTGCCCAGTGTGCGCGCGCGTCAGCGCTGCAGTGGAGTGTATTGGGCCCCTCACGATGCGCTCGCGGCCGTTTTGCTAGCTCCACATATACCAAATTTGGTGTTACGTGACTTCAATGGATGACGAAATATATGACTGGTGCAAACATGATAACCCTGACACGCGTGTCATGTAAGAACAAGACAACATACCACGCTCAAAGCGTGCTCGTGGCTGTTTCTCTAGCTTTACATATAATTTTTTATCACGTGACGTGAAAAGATGACGAAGGTAAATGACACATCCAAACATGATAATCATGAAAAAAGAGTCATGTACGGCATCATTTACCTCTACCTCGTAACGTTGTTCTTATTTTAAAGCAACATATCAACATTTCTCATTCGTGCTTCGCATATCATCGATTCCCACTGTACGTGGGATCTGTAAATTTTTTTTTTCTTTTCGCGTACGACCAAGAATTAGCGCCAGAATGTTCTGGCTGAACTGAAGGAAAGTATTTTTTTGTTCCTGCATTTACTTTCGTTCCATTTACGAAGAAAAACATGGCAACTGTGGCATTTTCCTGATAGGTGATTGTAAGGAACTATCAATTCGTCTATGGCAGTGTTACAATTTTTTCATTACGGTCTCTTTTGGCTTGGTGTTAAACACCTTGATTTGAGAAATATAGACGGATTATAGCATTCCTTCTTTCTGGAGACTTGTATAGGGGAAAACTGGGCTCATTATCGTCGTTGATTTGTATTGCTTTCCTATCTTGTATCATAGGTCTACTGTTATATCGTGTACAGATATTTATGAGGTGGTCAACCGAAACGCAGTTACGCTCTTGGTTACTGACTTCTCTGGTCTTGTCACTGAAATAAGGTGCGCGTGAAGAATTTTTTTTAATATTTCATAAGGCTTCGATACAATATTGCACAAGGCTTTGATTCATGATGTACCCGCAAATAAATGGGTCATTTCCGTGTTCCTTTCGTGGAGCGACCCCTAATTTACATTGTAACGTTGTTTAGAGAATTATTACGGGCACGCTGACGTAATCCTGGCTGCGACGCATAGCGCGACGTGGTTTTATTGCTTTTAGGGACGCACTTTCTTATAGCATCACTTGGTCGGTCGTCCTTTTATCCGGCGTCGCCAGCATTTCACGTAGTGAATGCTATGATGAGTGGGGCGAAGCGTCCGTCGGTCCGATGCGTGCTGTAGTGTGATAGAAGTGGACAGATGCATGGACGAACGACCGGATGGACGGACGCTTCGCCGCACTAATCATTCACTCCATGCATGTGCTGTGATTCTGTTTATCATTCGCGTGGCGAACAGCGTTTTGCTCCTCGTTGAGAAGGCCCACTGAGCGTGCCTTATCTATAGGGGAGACCAGTTGTGGCGAGCACGGCTGGATGGCAGGCGTGCCAGCCTAAGAAACGTGAAACGCTTCTAAGAAGCAATGAAACCACGTCGTGGTGCAGCTGTTGTTACATTATGGCATCGGCAAGAATTCTCGAAACAGCGTTATAATGAAAATCAGCGCTATAGTCCAATGAGAACAAGAAGAATTCATTCATTGAAGTGTAAGAAGTAATCCATAGACGTAGAACGTGGCACTCGTCTGACCTCGCTCGCGGATCGGGCTTCTATTTTTCTTTCTTCTTCGCTGGTGCCCCCCCCTCACCCACCTCTCCATTCTACAGTCCACGAACTTAGAAGTATAGTTACGAGCACATGCGGATCTCTTGCAGAAGCATCGCAATTTTCACTGCTCTACTATAAGCGGTGCCAATCTACAGCAAAATAAAATCCCTATTTAAAAGTAAAACGTTTCAGCATTGAGTGTGCCTCTCTTACTCCTTGGTGCGACATTTCCAAACGAACACAAAGTTATATACAAGCGTAAAACCATTTCGTTGTCCCAGCCACGTCAACTGTCGTTGCTTCTGCTACTCTGAAACGTCATTGTTGCTGCGCAAGCGATGGGCCTAGATCGCGATAGTGAGCATTCAGCTACACTTTTAAAAATGAATGAGAATATATTTTACATGAAGCACTAAGGTAACATAGTGCTTCATAAAGAAAGCAACAGAATACCAATCAAGAAGGGTGTAAGGCCGGGGGACACAATCTCCCCAATGCTATTTACTGCGTGCTTACAGGAGGTTTTCAGAAGCCTAGAATGGGAACAGTTAGGGATAAGAGTTAATGGAGAGTACCTTAGTAACCTGCGCTTCGCCGATGACATTGCATTGCTGAATAATTCAGGGGACGAATTGCAACTCATGATTACGGAGTTAGACAAGGAGAGCAGAAAGTTGTGTCTTAAAATGAATCTGCAGAAAACGAAAGTAATGTACAACAACCTCGTGAAAGAGCAGCGCTTCGAGATAGGTAATAGTGCGCTTTAAGTTGTAAAAGACTATGTCTAATTAGGGCAGGTAATAACCGCGGAGCCGAACCACGAGATTGAAGTGACTGGAAGAATAAGAATAGGGTAGAGCACATTTAGCAAGCACTCTCAATATATGACAAGTAGATTGCCACTATCCCTTAAGAGGAAGGTATATAACAGCTGTATCTTGCCGGTACTTAGCTACGCAGCAGAAACCTGGAGACTTACTAAGAGGGTTCAGCTTATATTGAGGACGACGCAGAGAGCAATGGAAAGAAAAATAGTAGGTGTAACCTTAAGAGACAAGAAGAGAGCAGAGTGGATTAGGGAACAAACGGGGGTTAAGGATATCATAGCTGAAATCAAGAAGAGGAAATGGACATGGGCCGGGCATGTAGCGCGTAGACAGGATAACCGCTGGTCATTAAGGGTAACTGATTGGATTCCCAGAGAAGGCAAGCGGGTTAGGGGGAGACAGAAGGTTAGGTGGGCAGATGGGATTAAGAAGTTTGCTGGTATAAATTGGCAGCAGCAAGCACAGGACCAGGTTAACTGGCGGAACATGGCAGAGGCCTTTGTCCTGCAGTGGACATAGTAAGGCTGATGATGATAATCATGATGATGATGATGATATTCCAAATGTTTCTTGTGCCCGGCTCTTCGCGTGTGGAGCGTCTTTGCATACACAGGAAACCCACAACAGGCTAGGGATAGCCTCGAAATTCGATGGCACCAACCCTTTAAGATTAAACCAACCATCTTCCTCTTCACTGCTTGCTCCGCCGTCCCTGGTTTTGATACATACGGAACAAAAAGAAGGTCAAAAAGACTACTGCTTAGAAGACTTTCTAACTAAAAAATTGATGTTTATTACGTGTTTAAATTCTCAATAATTCACTGAAGCAGTAATGATAAAGTTTTCAGCCTGTTTGGGTAGCTTTAATGCTATCATTATTGCATTACATACGTAATCTTTTTATTCTATTGGTTCTTAAAAGTATTCTTTGTGTCATCTTGATTTTATGGAGTAGCCATTAGAGCGAATGCTAATCCAGGCATGATTCTTTAGTATAGTTTGTAGTTGAATAAATATAGAAATGAGGCCCAATACAAGTACGAGTTCAAAAACATTTGCCAACTGTGGTGCCATACATCCGAAGAGAGAAGGCATCAGCTGCAGAGTAGTCTTGCGCACCACATTTTCCAAGTGAGTCAGTTCAGTTAGGAGCACCTTTAGGTGGCCCCGCGGAACGAGAGTTCTCGTGATGCAGTAGAAATTTAGTACCAAAGAGTTCTTCTGTATTGTTTTGTCTGAATATTTTGGTGGCCGGGGAGTGGTATACCTTGCGTGCTCATGAAGCGCCAACGTTTTCATAAAAAATCCAACGCTTCCTTCTCTCAAAATCCTCTCAGTAAAAGTGCGTGTTGGAAAAGAAGCGTTGATGATGTGAGATGAGTTTGACTTTAACGTTAAGCGCAAACGTTGCGTTTGTCCTGTCTCTGTCCTTCTGTTTTTTTCATAATAGTTCAGATGCAAAAGAAATCAACGACATTACTCTTCGCGGCATGTCATCCTTCATCCTGATGCAACTGTGCTATCCAAGTTTTCATCCTGCACCGTAAACACTAATATAAAGACCACCATATTTCTCGACGGGATGTCCAAATGCACAAATGTATGTGCTCATTGGCATCAGTGACAAACAGTGCTTTTATTGAAGTTGTCTTTGGATTAGACCAACAATTCTTTTAATAAATACGTATTCTATTTTGGTCCATTAAATGCTTGTAATAAGCTGTAGTCAACGTGATAACACATGGAGAAAGAACATTCAGTTGAGAGGAAACAACATAGTGGCTTGCTGAAATAGCTTCATTTATGGCGTAGGACAAAATAAAATAATGAATCACAAATTGGAAGTGTATTAGTGTGGATGTTGATAACAGTGTACAGTGAGCTATCTGTATACCGATTATGGGGTGCTGTGAACTATGTACGTGAATGTGTTAGGAGCGTATTTCCTCCGTTCACACAGTTCTTGGACGTCACATCAGTACTCTAAACAGAATGGGTTTTAGAGCTTGGTTGCAAGGCTAGATTGACTGCAGAGAAATCACATAAGCGAGTTCCACTTTAGACACTCGCAGATGTCTTGTTTGAAACATTGCGCGTTTAAAATGCACATCTCGTACCTTCCGTTTTTACTTATATGCTTTTGGTATTCGTGGTTTCCAGGAAGACGATGACCTGGATGGCGAGCTACGCCGGCCTCAGAGACGCCGTGCCCTGTCCGTCACGGTGCGACGGGCGAGCCTGCAAGCAGTGGTGTCCACCACGCGGCCGCTGACCACTGGATCATCGCCCGTGTTCAGGTCGGCTGACCCGAGCCCTGGGGCACCGGAGACCAGGTCCTTTCTAGGGGTCACTATCAGGGACGACTGACTAAGGCCACACCGCACGTAAGCCGGGCACTAGATTGCCGCACTCGGACACCGTCAGCAGCGGCAATCCTCCTATCGATCGCCTTATTGGGGAAAAACTTACAACGTGAACGACAATAGGAAAACATCCACGAATTTTGTTTGGAAGTGATCTCGTCAATTATAACACACCGTAATTTCACGAAGTCGTCGTTTTTTTTTACTAACAACGAATGATTTAGGTGTTTATCTCCACAGGGACAGTAGCACGCCAATTACCGGAAAAGTTAGCAAATGTGGCGGCGCAATGATTCTCACTGATACTGAGCCTGTTGACCATAATAATCTGCAAAATATCGTTTATGGCACATTGATTTTAACTATGATAAGCCTTATAATGATAACGGCAACGCGTGGAAGTCAAAGATGGTGGCGATGGAAGATGGAAGGTGGTGACAAACCACGTCGTTAAAATGGGTGACAGTGCGCTATAGTTATTCTTTAGCGTACGTCGTTTCAATTGTTGTATACCTCTGCTTTGCTGAATTAATAAAAAAATTATTCAAAGAACTCTAGTAATCTCGCATCTTACACTGATCGACGTTACTAATTCGCGAACAGTTTCTAAAGCTAGATGCAGCAGTGCATCTTTCATTTTCTGTGTCTAACTTTAAGGTGCAAATTGTTACCAAGTTAATTGCTGTGCTTAGAATACCCACTCTTTTTGTCGGAGCCTTTCTTATGATGCAAGAGAGGAAGCCGGCCGTGCGTCGAGTGTTAGCCTTGCTGCCTTTACTGGCGCCTCTTTGTCTCTGTAGTTTTTAAACAGCTTCATGCCCAAAATTTCACAGAGTGCCTAAGCCTTGACAAACACCGTGACACATTTTCCCGTGTGCAGAGAGAGAGAGAAGAAAAAATATCAGAAAGTTAGGCACGTTAACTTGACTAAGTCAGGTTTGCTACCCTACACGAGGGAGAGGAAAATCAGAGAGAGAAAGAGAGAGGAAGAGGAGATACATATTGCACATAACACACACACCACACACACAGTTTAGGTTTCACAGGCAGTCGCACGGTGACGTTGCCCTCATGAATATTAGATGGGCTCCTGTGGCTGTCTGGGCTGAAGTACTGAAGGCCACGCTCCCAAGATTTTGTCCAGAGTAAAGGGTCGGTCATCCAGCCTCCTTAAGGCACACTGGAGAGTCCGGGGATCTCCTTTAAATTCTGGACAATGGCACAGGACATACATTGTAACAATGCTGATTGTTGGCCTAGTTGGTACTTGCTTACTGACATGCTTTGGCCGCAAATAACACACGCACAAACACCCAACGACAAGCCGCTTGTGCTTGTCATTGAGTGTTTCTTTACTTTGTGTGTGTTTTATTTACGGCCAAAGCATGCCAGTAAGCACAGGACATGGTCGAGAGTTTTTACACAATGGAATTTATCACAGTGTGCAGACATTATTCACTTTGAAAGTGCCCAGGAATGATATATTCAGATAGCTGAACTGCCACCCTTTAGTTTCTAAATTATTTCAGCTCGAAGCGACGGAAAAAGAAAAGGTGGGTAAAGAGGAGGAGGGTTCTCGCAAAAAATTTGGGGGGGGGGGGGGGGGGGGTGCACTTTCCAATTGCCTACGTCACTGTTTACACAGCGCAAGACGGCGAGTAGTTGCAGAGTAACTACGAAGAAAGAGACATGTGGACAGAGGAATAAGCGCTGACTTAAACTAAATTTTATGAGCGAAAACGCTGGAAATGGCATATACACATAACAGCAAGCAGCATACCACAGCACAACCAAGCAACCTATTGTGTCACAAACAGACACTCTGTATCTCATGAAGAAGGTGAAACAGCACACCTCAGCACAAACTCGCCATCTATTGCGTCACAGTCCAGTACTCTGTTCTTTTTTTAATGAGCGCAACTGAAGGCATGCCAGTACACAGTTCCCCTAGCAGTTGCATTTGATTATACATAACAATTTCTCGTGTTAGCTGCTGACGATGCTTTGCGACAACGGTGTTTACGGCGACACGTTGGGTGAAGGGTTCTGCTTTACCTAAGGAAATTTTCTGTTAGTATTTCACAATGACAGTTGATGATCCTGGTCATCGCTTATCCACACCTTTCACCGATTTCTCCCCTTCTGCCGTCCAGATTAGGTAGTTGTTTCCATTGTTTCATAAACTCCCTGCAATGTTCGTGGAGTCATTCTTGTGCCGCCTGTGACATGGGTGCACAACAATGACAAACATCATTCGATTCAAATAATCTGCAAACTAGCAACCTCGTCAGTGCGTACACAGACTCCAATGTCTACGATGTGAAAGAAGCCCTGAAGTTATCCTTGGCAAGCGTTAAAAGCTTCAAAAAAACCTTCAGCAGTTGATATGTCGAAGAAGTGAAGATGTATGAACTGCAAGCTAGGTCGGTCAATGTGCATTACTTGGTAGTTCAGAAGGCGTCAACAACTTTTAAATAGCTGCATTTTACACGCGTTCAATATCAATTCTCCAAGCATTGAACAAAGCATTAACTGACGTCAGACTTTTTATATCTATACGTCAAATATGCGTGGTGTCACTATAACTCAGACAGAACTGTATTTGATTACGGTAATGATGTTGAGATGCTGATATTGAGGGCGTCGAGTTAGTTAAGGGGGGGGGGGACATTAGGAAGGCTTCTTTGTCGCCTATTAGTTTCTAATTATTAGAGACGATAATCTTTCTTGGGAACCTTCGACGCGAAAATTCCGGTCTGTCTGTCTGTACATTTGGCTCTTCGTCCACTGTTAACGTACCCTTAACGGCACCAAAGTGACCTAACGATACTCCAAATGACCGACCCCGGTCGCAGCGCCCACCAATATTGCTCGAGGTTCAGCGTTCTTACTTGTGCGAATGTCAATTAAAAAGCAATGATTGCGCATATCTGAGGCACCATAACAACACGTCAATATTATGTATGTGTATTTTTTACTAGAAAAGGCATATATAAGTAAGTTTAAGGATCGTAGCCTTGATAACGCTGCACTGGCCATGCAACGCTTGCACGGAACGGCAAGTGTTTCTAACGCTTTGCTAAGACGACACGGTGGTGGCACCTACCCGTCGCCTTGCGCTCCACACCCTTATCACCTCAGAGACAGGCGCGCACGATGCGTGCCCCATTTTCCATGATTACTGCCAGATAGCGCTCATGTCTCACGTGTGACGTGACTTGATGCGCTCGTTCGCCTCCGCTGCACGCTTGAGGCACTCGAATGCAGCGCCTCCAGAATACCATTCACCGATGGTCTTCCGCGGAACATCAAATAAACGTTTTGTTCACTCTCTCTAGACGCTAGACTATCGTCTTTCGACATTTGCGGTGTAACATGCAGATACGGGGCCAATTATTTTGGTGTTGTTTTGTGAAAGTTTGTGAACCAGTATAGTAATTGCCATAGCCCCAAAGTACCGAAGCCATTTCGAGAACAGCCTGGTGAGCGCTGACAAGAAGAATGAAATGCATTACGTGTCTTTTTCGTATATCTGCAAACCGCTTGGGCCATCAAAGAAAAAACGACCTTTCCGAATCCGGCATCACCGTAGAATACTGAACGACTCCGCTAGCTGTGTTGCATGTTTTTTATTTAGTGCGCGCTATTTATATTGCTTGTCATTTTTTAAATGTTTATTTCGGTCGCAACTGCTTTAGTAAAACTTTCCTCATTTGATCTTCATGAAAGTGAACAGTGGTACTCATTGTAATGAAGGAGCCAATTCAATGTAGTTTTCTTTCCAAGTAATTTGTGTTCCCAAGTTGCATTATTTACACAGCGACTAGTCTAGCCTGGGTAAATCAGTGTGGTTCATTTTAAAGGTGACAGGTGTGACCAAATGCTCGATCACATCAATGTTATAGACAGAATTTGCAGCAAACTTATTCGTGACATGATGAATGGCTTTGACATTGCCAGTAAATACAAAGCGTGATATAGTGACAGTTACCTGACGATGCGCGGAAAGAAGCAAGCTTTTTTGCAAACGTCTTTGTAATGTCAAAGATGTTGCAAATATGACAATGGTGGGCTCACATATGCGACAAGGTACATGCAAGAAGGCTTTACTTGTCTAGTCTATTCGTTTTTATTATTTATTTTTTTTTGTGTGAAGTAGATTGCAACTTGGCCATTCACCGTGCACAATATATACATTTAGCAACGATCTAAACATTGAGCAGTTGGTAGTCCAGCCACTTCACTGTCTTCACCATTTCATGAGACTCATCGCCTATTACTATGGCTGATCCGTTTCTCGTCAGCAGCTTGGACCTTTGCGGCGTCTGGCGAAAATAGATGCGGCGCCAACACTTCTTTAAATGTGGCCTCAAAGATACCACATCCAAAAGAGCATTCAGTAATAGGTTAACCAAGCAATACACCAGAGTACACTAAAAATGACGTGCTTGTGTCACTGCTAGGCAGCTAAGTTGAGAGTAACGGTAGCCTCCAGATTCTTTTTGTGCAAAAGCCTTGCTTCATTTCACGGATGTGAGAAAGACACACAAGGCAGCTGGACTTAATGGGCAGTTGTATAGCCTGCGGCAGTTCTGCAAGCAGTAACCTTATTTGGCGACGCTTCTGCACGACATGAATGGCAATAGGATATAAATGAAAAAAAAAATCCTTGAAGAACGGTTGTGTCAAGCCGACTTTTCGACAAGTGGACTTCTCTTCTTCAAGGTTAGAACAGAACACAGTTTCGGTTCAAGCCTTTGACGAAGACAAGTTGGTTTGTCGTAGAGTCAGCTTGACACAAATCTTCGCAGGCTTCCATCTTCCCGTTCCTACCGTTTGATGCATAATATAGGCATACCAATGTATACATAGGAATACAGGAGTCATACAGGAGGAACATACAGGAGGAACATCATATTGGAACATCATATTAGTCATACAGGAGGAACATCATATTGGATGAACAGCTGAAATGATTCTGTTCGGTGCAATAAAATTAGAGTACACCAACGCGTTTGGCT